CGCCCTTTCACCTTCTCTTCTTGCTCTCACTCATGCTGTTGCCTGTAACATTGAGAGTGGGGGTTGCTATTTTTTGTAAGTTTGGAACTTTTTTAAAGATCCGCGATGTGATCAGGCCCCTATCGGCACACCCTAGGGCCATCTTAGGAAGACCTCCTGTTTCTCGTTGCCACTCAAATTTAGCCATCTTTAATGCCAAATGAATGCTATTAAATAGAACTCTTTTAATTTCTGATCAAATTTAATAACCTGTTGGATGAATTTGCATTGCAAATGTGGCTGCTGCTTTGATTCACATGCATAGAGTGGTGCAGTGACGAGTCCTAAAGTGAGTTAGCGTTTGTTCTCCATAGGATTTTGGAGAAAAGTTTGAAATTGAGCTCACTTCCGGGTTAAGTCATCCCTGCACCACTCTATTACCCATTCATCAGTGAGAAACGTACCATTTGTGATGCAGTGGGAATGGGTCTGAGGTCAGTTTCTTTTGTACGTTTGGGCTGCCTGACAATCCCTTTACATCTCTCTATTGTTTATGTGTGAATATCGCTCACTTATGCTGTTTTCACATCTGCATCATCATGTGTCGCCATGTGAAGGTCTGGTGTCTGTCCGGCTGCCCCTCCTTCACTCCCACAGTCTTAAAGGAAGGATTCACTCTGATCCATCCATCCCATCATGTCTCTTACACTCAGATCAGTCGCTTAGCCTTTTCTATTCTATTCTATTCTATTTTTTGACTCTTGACTGTCAAGTGTGTGGCTCGCAGACATATTTTGGACTCTAGGATGAGATATCTGATGTCACACGTGAATGTTTTGTGCTGTAAGGATATGGAGAAGGCTGCTCCTCCCACACTAAATAATAACAAGTGGATCAATTGAACCTTTTTTTCATGCGCTGTAACTCCCAGTCCCTCTTAGTAGGAAAGAAAAACAGCTCTTACTGTTTTAGTTTTGGTAGTTTTGGTCTTCCACCCCACTCTCACAGCAAAGCTGTATGGCATTCTCAGATGACACACTGTCATTCCCATATAGCGCTGTACTTCTGGCCAAATGTGGTGCACTAAGTGGTTAGTCGTTTAAGGTTGGTCCCATGTTTTCATAGCATTACTGATAAGGCAGTTGCGTCCTGTTTTGTGTTAGTGGTTTTTAAAGAATTCAGTCTGAGTTTGCAGTAACTGCCTCCTATAGTGTTAATACTGTATGTATGATTTTGGGCGAAGTAGTTGGTACGCGGTTGCCGTTATTGGCCCTTTTGAACATGCACGGAATCAGCTCATAGAATGAGACAAGCCATGCCGACAGAATTTAATCGACACACCTAATTCTCAAGGGCTTCCTCTGACTGCACAGTCACATGATCACGCTTTCAGGCTCACATGCAGAAGGTAGAACTTATCCTTTATGGCAGCTAGTAGCTAGGTCATCCAGGGCTTCCAAACACTTTGTGTTCAAATCCCAGCAGCTGCAGAATGTTTTTGCTGTTGTATTTTAAACTATATTTTCTAACTGTCTCTACACAGCCATCACATTCGGATCCGGTCAGTAGGGCATTGCAGCCACAGTGTGTCGTCCTCTCTGGACGTAGTCTCAGATCAGGACGGGTCGTAGGGTTTTAATGTCAAAGGAAAAAGGGTAACTCTACTGAGAGTAAAAAAAGAAATGTAGAAAATGGGCAGTTTCTGCTGTGCTTTGGTGCTCCAGCCAGTATGTTAACTTATTTGCTGCCTGACTGTTCGTTTGCTATTTAGGTAACGAGGGCAGCAGCTGCACAGAGGAATCTAATAAGCCGCTGTCCTGGTTGAGCGCAGCAGTGCACTCACTCATGTGTCCATACGTGTACGTGAAATCTGCCCAGGAGCTGAAACAGGAGTCTTTGCGAAGACTCTCCCATGGTGCTTTGGGGCAACTCCCTATTGATACGCAGCGTTGAACAAACCCAGTTGGCAGCGGGACGCCTCTTAGTGTTCAGACTTCTGCGGCGCTGCACTGTAAACATGACTACCCTGTTCTCGCTCCTGTGAGAATGCCTCGCTGTCAGGCTCTGATGTCAAACGTCACATTTTGTTTCTTAATCGTGTGCACTCAGAACAGATGCAGGGCCCTGAACGCATCTGAAAGAACTGATCAGCTGTGTGAGTCTGATGAGGCCGATCTTCGAGCCCTTCTTTAAACTGTCCACGTTGGCGTGTTAAAGGAAATAAACGTGTTGTATTTACCAGATGGTTCTGATGCACATCCTGGTGTTGCACTGGGGTGTTTCTGGCCATTGAGAAATTGTTAGGGTTTAGTGTACAGTAGTTTTCATTGTTAAAAAGGTACAAAGTTTTTCAGATTGACTGCTGATTTTTTTTTTTGTTGCCAAACTTATCCCCTCCCCCATTTCCTTCCGAAAGGTTTGAAAACAGGGTTTCCTGAGGTATGCTAGCCAGTGACCTCTGACCTTTTTTGTGATGAGAGGGGGGGATGCGAAGAGAGCCAGGCCAGTAAGGGGTGACAGACACCCCTCAAGCTGCCGCTCTCCTATTTTTTGCTTTAATTCTCTTTTGTATGCAGAACCAAAATGTAAAACGTTGGCAAACTAGGTTTCAGGCCTGACCTGTGTGTATATTCCCTGAATACAATCATTGGGCTCTTGTTTTCAAAAGCAAAATGAATAAGATAAGTGTAGTTTCTAAAGAACATGTATCATTATTTGTAAGTTAACCATCTGCATGTCTTCAAGCCACCTGGCATTAGCTAATAATTTTTAAGATAAAAAAAAAACTTTTTACACATTTTTATTTTTTACAATTTATTTGCCTGCCTAAAGATCCCAGACAATAATGTGACCCTTTTTATTACTTCAAATTTATTTTTATTTTCCATTTTTTTATTTTCCTTATTTCCTGTGTACTACATAATAGGCAATTTATAACAAAATGAGAAAATTATTGAAGAAATTTTAAAATTGAAATATATTTTATTTGAAAGTTTATGGACCTTTTAACCGTGAGCCGGAAAAGTTGTATAATCGTATAATTTGAGCTGACTTGACGGTTATGAGAAATGTATCAAGAGTTTTATTTTTTATGCTTCTTTAATAAAGTCTTGTTTTGGTTTCATTTTTTTTACTGTAAAATAAGAACTTGTGTCTGGTGTCTTTTGTTCTGTTCCAAGTGGAAATGTATATCACACTGGAGCGTCTTGGCCACAAGGGGGCAGTAAAAACACTAAATCTGAGTCTAGACCTTCAGATCAAGATAAAACATCAGGTTGAGCCTGAATCTTACACTAACATCGGGTGGAAATCTTCCAACAATAAATTCAACAGCAATATGGTAGGATTTGGACCTTTAGAAATAAGCAATTTGAAGGAAATAGTCAGACAATTATTTTCTGTCATGTTTTAGCCCAATTATTTAATCAACCACCCAGATTACCCACTCAAACCTTCCCTCAGCAAATACTCCATTCACCGGGGATGGGTTTAAATCCCAGCCAGTAAACTCATTAACATAGTGTACAAAAAGTGAAATCTGTTTTGTACACTAATGACACCATGTTACGAAAAACTGTCCCTACCTATATTTAGTCTTGATGATACTCAACTTTCCTTTCCTTTTAAGAAAGCAGAGAAGGAGCTCTTCTCAGTTTCACAGACTGTTGGCAGTCTACGGCTGGTTTACTCTCACATTCAGACACACCTGTTTTTATTGGATTTACTATTTTAAATAAAGATTTTAAGAAAATCCTGCTATTTTTCTCTTTCTTCCTGCTCTAAATCTCTTAGATTTTATAAAGAGCTTCCTCATCATGTGACAGTAAATTCAAAACAATGCCTAATGGTTTACTACACTTGATAGGACACGCCTGTATTAGATTTTTAGTGCTTTTGTATTTATTTGCCTAAAAAATGTATGATTCATCTCTTTCATCTAAAAAAGACAAATGTTCTGGTTATGTCATCAAATGCTCTAAACTTTTTTATTTAAATTTGGCTGGTTTTCCCCTTGTCCTGTTGACTGACAAGCTCCTTGCTGAAGGTAATAAAAAGCAGATGTATAGATTGTGACACAAATGCCCTTTTATTAGGAAGCAGATCACAATCAGGTTGCATTCCAGTTCCTCCTCGTCCTCATTAAAGAACAATCAGTAATGATAAGAAACAAATTAGAAACATCCTTTAGTAGAAAATAATTCTCTCATGCGAGTTCTGTGTTCACACTACATTCATATTGATTACTGATGACGTATTCACAAGCCTTTTGGAAAAACAAAAAAACATTGATGAATTATCATTACATAGCTTTGAAAAAAGGGAAAATAATTCACATCAGAGACGCGTGCTGGCACGATAAAGTTTCCCATCATGCAATTGTCAGTTGATTCTATTCACAGGGTGGGCGTCATTGGTCTCCACAGAGTTGTGTCGGCGTGCATGCATGCATGTGTGTCATCTTACATGTGCCCTTTTGTGCTTGAGCAGAGATTGGTGTTTAGATGTGTGTGTAGCCAGTGTGCGAGTGTGTGTGCAGTGTTCATACATACATGGAGTAGGCAACCAACGAGCCCCAAACTGGATAATGGCTCATGTTATTTTTTTATACTTTTCTAACGTGAAATGTAGAGTTTAATCTTGAGCCTTGGGATTACTTAATCAACTCATTAAAAACAATGTAACTGCGTGTTAAATGGGACGGAAAGCTTATTTCAAAAGCCGATTCTCCTAAAAATTCCAATTTATTTAAGTGGAATTTGAACGCCTAATTTGAAGGCATGAGTTGCTGTCCCAGTGCTATTCGTGGTTTTGGATTTGAATGTCCCTCAGATCATAGAAAGAAGGCTTAGCTGAGGATAAGTGACATTCAGAAGCTTTGTTTTTGGTAGAAATAAACAGTATTCAGTAAAGACAACATGTGACAGGCCAGCACTGACCTCATTAAGTAGGTCATCAGAACCTCTGAGTGTTGCTCACCTTTATGCAGTTAAAGGTAACAGATTTATTGATGCACATGACAAGACTGAAACCAACACAACATAGATGCTTGGCGGTGACTCCGATGGCTTCTTTCTTTGAAAAAATACCCAAAAAATACATGAGCTCTGGTTCGTGCAACTTTGTTCCTAAAGGCAAATAGGAATTCAAGGACAAAACACGTTCCCTCTTATTTAAAAAGTGACAAATATCTTACACACTTCCACCGGGAATGGGAATTTTATGATTCCATGAATAAAGGTAGATAGAATAAAGAAGAATCATAAGTTTTCCATTCCTTGGATCTGGATATTGCAGTTGGTGCTCCTGTATTTATACTGACAGCACATACATTATGGGTGTCTATACAATATATTGCTCACAATCTCAGAGCCCATTTACCCCCACACACTCGCACACACACACACCTTCACACACATGCACACAAACGATAACAAAAGAAACAGGGGGTTTGCTCTTCGTAACAAGAACATAGGAACAAACCACTATTGCCTTAAAGAGATGAGTTTGGTGTGCAGGCGATCGGGAGCCGTGTCCTTCAGCATGGCGTCCTCTGGGCTTCTCCTCAGTGTCATTCATGAAAGACAATCGCAGAGAGTGGTATTGTTTATGTAGACGGGTGGGCACGTGGGGAAGCCTCCTGGTCTTTTTATCAACTGAATCTTTGAAAGGATGTATAGTGCGTAAAGTGACCCCCCGTCCGCTGATCATCCTGTAGCCCTTTTTGGAGTAAATGTGCACTCTAGGGGTGTGGATGTGTTCGACACTGGGGTATTGCTCTGTTTATCATGATGTGAAGAAAGATTTTTTTTGTATATATAAACTTTGTGGCCACAACCTTCATCTCTACACATCATCAGTTTCTCCACGATCATCACGGTTAGTTGGGTTATAAAACCTTATTACCAGGGATATATATGTATGCACCATGCTCACAGGTAAAATATTGTATTGGGGGGGATACAGCAACGTGAATCACAGTGTTCCTGGGTTCAACATGCAGGACATTACAGGACAGACTAGAAGTGACGTTGCCCCCCTGGATGCTGATCTAAGGTCAGTGTTTTCTCTCTATTTTTGATTTTGGAGCAAAAGGGTGCCGATCTTAGATCTGTGCCTGACCTCCGACCTACACAACACATCACACCGTGGGAAAATTACGCAGAGCAAAACAACGACAAGGGGGGGGGAGCGGGGGGAGAAAGACTGACAGACTTGAAGAACGACACACAGTCAGGCAGGCAAGCGGACAGACGGACGGACAAACAGAGCTAGACAAGAGCCGCTCTCTGAAGACAAAGAGAAGCAAAAGTGCAAAGTGGTCGTCCTCGAACTATCAACAAGGTTCAGTTGTGGCTCTGCGTTGCATTATATCACATCTAAATGTACAGCGTATAAAAGGTGTGATGCATTCTGGGAGAGATTGAGTGACAAGTGCTTTCTAATGTGAGGCTAAACTGAAGTGGACAAATTAATTATGAATGATTATAAACATATTCCTCCATGTTTTGCATTGATAACATTGCAATGTAAATGTTGCATAATGTATGCAGATATATGTACAATAGAGCATGTGTGTGCTTGTGAATTGCACATGGTTGTCTATCTATGCAGGTGTGACTTCTATATGTGTGCATAATGCTATGTCTCTGGGTTGTTGCGCACACGCATGTCTTTGCTCTCCCCCCCCCCTCAGCTGCGACCCTCCTCCGCTGAGCGCTGGTCCGACTTGAGCTTGACGAACTCCTTGGCCACCTCGTCGTTGTTGCGCTGAGAGAGGATGCGCAGCACGGTGAGGCCCGTCTCGTCCATGTGGACGCGGCGGCCCAGCGGCATCCAGAGCGTCACGCTGCCCTTGCTGGCGATGTCCTTCAGCTGCACCACGGACATGCCCACCGTGCGGTCCTCTCGGGCGAAGCAGTAGTCCTTCACACACACCTGCAGCTCGTAGCTCTCCGGACCCACCTCCGTGCCCAACGCGCTGAAACACACAGTCATATCCTTGTTTTACTAAACGTCTGTCTGCATTTGACTAACACTCAAGAATGAACGTTTCAAACTCTCCGGTACATACGAGTCAACCAAAAGAGCACACACCCTGTAGTTTTAATAACCTGCTACATTTGGAACCCAACTGATGTCCTTATCATACACTTTGACTTAACCCTGTACTAAGGCAAAGCAAACGCACCCTAATCTATAAATGGAAGACTGGTAGACCCAGGAGAGAGAATCTAAAGGTCAAACATTGAAAGAGAGGAGACTCTGAGAGTGTGTGTCTAAATATGTGTACACGTAAGCACATATGAGAATCTAAGTAGATACATGTGAATACGAATGTACCGGTGTGTGCGTATGTCTGCTATTATACAAAAAAACTAAGAAAAAACTAAAAAAACAGTTAAAAAAAAGTTATGGAGTACATTGCCTGAGACTATTAACTCATAAATGATACACATGTTGTTTTTATCTCGTCTTCACTGTATTCTTTACTAAGTTATTTAGAGGAACCTGATGGATGTTAAATGGACACAGAAGTTGCTTTTTTCCCACTACTTACTGCAGTGCCGTATAGTATAGTATATAGTATATAGTATAAACAGTATACAGTATACAGTATATATAATTCATAGAGCAGACGGGATGATACTCACTACTGAAAGCTCTCAATGAACTTGGGGGACCAGGCGTTGTTTTTGGACTTGGTGGCAAACTTCCTCTTCTTGTCACTGAGGTGAGGGCCGATGATGTAGACCTCCACGAAGGGCCTGAAGCCCTGAGCCTTCCACTTCAGGTCGTTGGCAGCCACCACTGGAGGGACAGACAGAGGTTAAGGTAAAGAAGCAATGTAGGAGAATACAAGGACATTTGCTTTGTTTTTACCTTTGATGCCGATCTTGTGCTCTCCATTCGGTTGGGGTAAAATGTCCACGCACATGATGACCTCACCCACAGCATCCACTCCAGATGCTGTAAAGACATGCTTAGTGATTACTCTTATTTATATAAGGACTTTTTGTGCCATATTTTCCACAATAACCAGTGTGTCTGCAGTCTAACATGTAGTACAGCTGATACCGTATTTATGACTCGAGGAATTGGGATGCGTCAGCAGAATATGAACTAAATCACACACACACACACACACACACACACACACACACACACACACACACACACACACACACACACACACACACACACACACACACACACGGAGCAGGACTTGGCTGGGCAAGGCAGCTTTTGTGCCAGTTCTACCGCTAAGCAAATGGCAAACTGTAACGCAGTAATGGCTGGTAATTTGTCTTATTCACAGTGAAAGAAAAAGAGAAAGAAGCCCCACAAAAACCTGGACAAAAGCTAAAATGCTTTTCATCAGCACAACATGGTCTTCTGTTCACTGCGTCTTAACTTCAAACCATCACCAGCTCACCTGATTTGGTCAATATCATCCTCTGTGCATTCTTCATATATAACATGCTTCATCTACCACAGACAGTTCTTTGTGCCTTTTCTCAATCAGCTTATAAATAGGAATTCGACCTGGAAAGTAAAACCCAGAAATAGCGTGCCGAGGGGCTAACGCTGCTCCGGTTATCTTTGCCCTCTCAGGTGTCTGAGCTGCTGCAGGTTACCGTGGGGACAAACAGCTGTGACGTCACACTGCTGACACTTACGTTTCTCTGGTGGTGTGTCTTCATTTGCCGTGCACCTGAGCCCTTTCCCTCCGTGGACTGAGAGGAGGCAGAGGAAATAAAGCATTAGAGGATGAAAATGCTCATAAGTACAACATGTGGAAAGCATTCTTTATAAATACTGCAAATGAAAGTGTTGTGCTGATGTTTTAAATACTTGACAACTAGAGCGTCCTTGAGCAAGACATTTAAAGTATTTATTATTCCTGTTTTCTGATAATCATGATTTAAATAGTGTGTAGTGTGCGTTGGTGTTGCTACTGTAATTCACTAACGCAATGAGCCAAACATTTTCTTCCAACACTGTAGGCAAGTTATTCTATTAAACTCACAATCCACTTTTGATTCCATAAGTAAGAAAAAGAAGTAGAGATCTTTGAGAGTCACCAAAGAATTTTTGTGTAAAACGCTTCTTTGTGACAGTGTGTGTGTGTGTGTGTGTGTGTGTGTGTGTGTGTGTGTGTGTGTGTGTGTGTGTGTGTGTGTGTGTGTGTGTGTGTGTGTGTGTATTGTTTCTACTTGAGGTCGTACCCTGAGCGCTCTGCGAGAGGACAAACTTCCTGATGAGCTTGTCTGTGGCCTGGGTGTACAGAGACAAGGCGTAGCGCAGAGACTGCAGGTCTGGACTCTTCTCCAAGAACGTCTTCTTCAGGCCCACACCACCAGCGTGGAAGTATTGCTGGAACAGATGAGACAACACACGCGTATTGTAGAGAACCAGAAAGACACACAGAGGCTAAAACACAGAGAAGTCTAAGTGGAAAATGTACAAATGTGACACAACTAGTTTCAGGCCTGGAGCTACGGAGAGAAGGTGGTGTAAAGCAGGCTGGGCAACTCAAACACCTCTAAGCTAAATTATGTTGAAAATAACATTGTCTTATTTCTGATTTTATTTATTTATATTAACATACGGCATATGTCCTATTAGGTCAGATAAACGTGTTGAATGACTGAAGTTAAAAAAGGACCAGTATGTAGGATTAAGATGATTTGTTTTAGCAGAAATTAAATACATTGTTTGTGTATACCTTAAACTCAGAATCTTTTTGTTTTCGATAATCTGAGACTGAGCTCTTTATCTCTACAAAGGGTTCTCTTCTTTAGGGCCCACCATTTTTCTACAGTAGCCAATAACAAATAAACCCTCCACGGGCTCTAGAGAGGGCCTGTTATGACTTTATACGAGGGATAAGTCAAGTGAGACGTGCCATTTCCCCCAAGCATCCAGTGGAGTCGCCCCCTGCTGGATAAAATAAAGAATGCAGGTTTATTAAGGGACCCAAGCACTGGCTTGTGAGGTAGAGGCTGAGCATTCATTTGGTTGAAAGCAGAGACCTTACCACTAGATGCCACTAATTCCAACACACTGGACATTTAAAGCTTTCAGTTGAACCCCATTGTATGGTTTAAGAGCATCCCATTTTTCATTCTCTTGAACACAGAATATGACATACTCTGTTATTTGAGTATTCCTTCATGTTAAGCAAACACAAAATGTTGTTAAAATAAGAATCCAGCATCAATTCCTTGGCTGCTGTGTTTGTGGGACACAGTGTACTCTACCTTTATAGTGTCCAGAGCCAGCTCTATCACTGCACACTGTTTAGGACTGAGAGCTTTGGCCTCCTCTCGTCCCATGTGCTCCTGCAGGACAGATCAAACAGGGGTCAGTCTTTTGCTTTACTAAAATGTAGTAGATATTTCTTAGTACATTTGCTTTGTTTGCAGCGTTCTGTTTTCATCACCTTGAGTTTGGAAAGCTGTCCCAGCTCCTTAGCAGCGTTAAAGATCATCTGAGTGCCCTGTGGTTGAGAGACGGACAGACAGGTGAGTGAAGAAACCTAAAAGGTGGTGTTTTAGAGATATGCAGTTGAGTGAGAGGTGAGTTCAAGAGGTTTAGTGAGGACAGACAGCTGCAGAAACAAGGGTTTGAAGAGTGAGGTGGAAGAGGGTCAAACTACAAAGGTCAACTAATCTATCTATATGTTGAGTAAACATTCAGAATTAAAAGAAACATCATCTTGAAAAACAATATAGGCTTTAGTGCCATGGTGTGGAATCATGGGGTCATTATGCCTCTGGTGATGTGTGCTGCCATTTAAATTCAGGTTTGATGCACTGCTATCCACAGAGAAGGAGAACTTAAGACTGCAGAGGGTGGTGTTAAGACTCCTGCTAAAACAGTGTTTCTTCATGCTAACAGAGGGCAACATACACATACTTACAATGACCTAAGAAAGGAAGGAAGGGAGAAAGAATGGTGTTAATGGCAGGAGCGATGGGTACATTAAAATGGAACAAAGCAATGACAAGCATGGAAATTCAGAAGCAGAGAAGAAGAAAAAGGTGAAAAAAGAAGAGTGGATGTCTTAATGTATTACACACCGTCGTGTCAGTGAGAGTTGGAAGCACAATTGTTTTTTCCATTGTGTTCATCACCAGTTTCCAAAGCTCCTTCAGCACTCTCTTCAGGACGGTCTTCTCGCAGATCTTAGCGAACAGCGACAGGCTGAAACACAGAAACACAATCTCTCAGCTGCCAGACATGAGGGCAGAACTGACACACACATTTCCATTTGTTTTTGGAGTGTGTGTATGTTGAGGCCATGGAAACATTCACATAGTTGCAGACAATAGCTCACTTGCGAGACTTGTTTAAAAAGAAAATAGTTTCAGTATCTAAAACACTTTTTTTCAGTTGCTGAGTTGGAGAAAATCATTTTATCTTCTTCAAATCCTTTGTTCATTTATCAAAAGATTGAAGGCTGTCTTTGTAACAAAACGGCATTCAATACATTCTTGTAACCATTCAAGAACTGGGTTTTAAAAGGTTCAAAGGTGACATGTCATGCTTTTCTGGTTATTACCCGTCCCCTCTTGTGTTATGAAGGTTTTTCTGCATGTAAACAGTCTGCAGAGTCAAAACCCTCGAAGTACACCCTGTAGCGAGCAAAACTCTAACACAGAAAATACCTCCCCAAAACGCCTCGTTGGTGAAACGTCATCATGACGTCATCGTCATTTGATTCTTCCGGGTACGTGCTTTCGTAAGTTACGTTAAGCCCCCGCTGATTGGTCCAAATTGACCAATCCACACACACACTTAGTGCAGGCAGCCTTGCTGATTTCTCCTCCCTGGCTGCAGGCTGATAACAGACAGTTGGGATCGCGCAAAATTCTCTCTGCAGACCCATTCTCACAGCGTTTATCAACCTATAAACCTGGGGGGGTTGGGGAGCTGCAGCGAGCCGTTTAGTGGAGAAAGTGAATACTGCTGAATACACATACTTTACAGAGATGCTGTATGAAGAATCCTTTATTGCCTGAGACATATTCAGCTCAATTCTTCAGCCGCATTGATTTGTAATATCCAGCCGCACTTACTTGATGTCCAGGAAGTCCATGATGGGCTGCAGGACGTTGTCGGCATCCTGAACCACGCTGCCATTGGCCGGGACCGTCTGACCTTTGACCTGGGCGAGGATATCTCCCATCTGCCTGACGTTGTCCTCGATCTGGGGCTGGAAACTGCATCACCAAACAACAACAACAACAACAACAACAACAACAACAACAACAACATGTAAACAGACTGTGAAATCAGCAGGAGAAACTGGCCCAGCATCTCTCAGTTTGGACCAAACACACACCTGACAGCAAAGATGCGGCTGAGGTCGTCCATGACGCTGTTCAGTTTGTTCTGCAGCTCCTTGAGGAAGTCACTAGCTTCTAAATTGAGCTGTAAAAAGACAAATGGGTTGATTACAAGAGCCGTATCACAGACACACAATCCCAACAATAAGAGCATGCATGGAAACTCACATCTTTGCCCCCCATGGCCTCAAACATCTTCTCCAACTGAACTCTGAGCTGCTGGATGTTATTGATGATGATACACGGCTGAGGGGGGAAAGAGAACAATCATTACGATCACACTTCACTCTCCCTCCGTCTGCTCCCAGCGTTTTATCGTAATCAATCAGGGTTAGTCCGCCTAACTTTTTTTATTGCTTCTTTGGCGAAAAGAAGCCTTGGTGATGCAGGGCAGGAGGAGCAGGAGATATCATTAATTACTCCTCCTCGGGACCCTCGTCCCTCTGGGAGAGCTGCCCACTTTCCCCGAGGTTACACCACATTCAGCTAATTACTCAACTCTAATTCACGTGGAAACACTGGGAATGGCTCTAACACTGAAGAGCAGTTTACTGTGCTAAAACAATCCTGACCACATACACCAATGCGCTCTCTTGATGGAGCTCAAGTTAAACCATTAAATCAGTCACAGCTATTTATTCCACTCTCACAAATATCCATCTGTTAGTGTGTTGTGCCAAACTTTCTACACACCGTCATCGAATCAAAGAAAATATAAAGATTTTAGTTAGGAGATCCATTTCAAAAACATACATATGCTCTTAAAATGTGCAAATCTGCATACATTTCAGATGTATAAATCTGGTTATAGGAGCATTTAGGATTATATATATTTTGTATCCCTCTATAAATCAGAAAATACTGTTAAAGCCACATGAAATTCATTGTTGCCATGTTCCTAGGAATTAAACCATATGAATCTGGCTACGATTGCCTGCAGAATATAGACAAGAATAAAATGTGCTACATAAGGAGAAGTATGAGAAAAACAAGCCTTTTAAAGCATTTTAAAATTCAAACCAATTGACCATACACTTCAAATTAATATGATACATCTTTTTGAGTAATAGATATCACCATGAAACTTCCCCGGTTCATTTATAACAATAAGAGTATTGCATTACACATTTCTGAAATGTTATGTTTAATTGAGCACATGAGACATGATCTCATTTCAACTTCTTTTAGGTTGACAAAAAGCCCCACATGTCAACATTTAACATGGCATGAACTGTGTTTCTTGCCTTACAACATCTCTAACACCTACCACTTTCTCCTTTTTGACATGATTGTGGAAGTCCTTTTCGATGATGTCAGCATAAGACAGCAGGACATTGCCAATGGTCTAAGAAAAGGACACAACATAATGGCATGAGGGCAAACTTACAGTGAAGAAAATACTCAGACATTCTGTGAGAGTGTGAACAGGTGAAAGTCACCTTGGCGAATCTCTTCATGTAGTTGCCAACAATCTGAGGGTCGGGACACTCCAGCTTGCGAATGATTTCAAAACTCTGATTTAGCTGAGAGAACACGTCCACCACCGAGCAGGAGAACAAAGCGTGCTCCGATGTGACCTGGAACTGCAGAGCCAGAAGAAAGGGGGGGGGGGTGTTAGGAGCTGTTATGTGGTGCTGATGCTGCAAGTAATCTGAGCACGTCTAACACTGGAGGTAAGGGGTTGTATTCCCCTGAGGGACACCCGTGGGAGATGATCAGACAATGAAGCTGACCCCTCTCCAGCTGCACGTGATCAAAAGATTTGTGAGGTGATTTTCTCTGAAAGCAATGGAGGTGATCACAGGGTTGTGATGAGGAGCAGGGCCCTCATTAACAGGCGGCCATTAGTGAATAGTGTTATGATATGTGAAGTGGCTGGGGGACCGCTGTTTTTCGCTGACACAGGAATGCAGAAGCTGCCTCTGGCGACAGTAATTGGACCCAAAGGAGTGCTGACATATGAGCTGAGAGGATCTTCAGCTGCTCGCATCGACCTTCTTTCTGTGTGGATATGTAGAGGCAATGAGACCCAGTGTGGAGCATCTGCATTTCTCCACGGTAAAGTTTTTTTTTCCATTTGCCTTTGGTATCGAGTCATTATTGATTGCCTTGAGGCCTTCAAGCCGCTCTTCTCACCCTTGAATGTGCTGAGTCGGGAGAGATGGTGCAGTCTGCCTGAATTTTCATGAGAAATGCATGAATACATTTTTTGGGGGGAAGCTGCAGGTAGGAGGGTCAAGTTTAGGCTCCAATACTTTATTTTCTTACCGTCTCAGCAGAATTTCATTGTTGAATTTAAGTCAAACATTAGTTTCGCATGACGAGGTGTTTCTTTCCTTTAAAGAAAAATCTCTTTTCACTTCATTTTTTGGGTGGGCGGCAACATCCCTCAAGCTGCATGGCAATTGGTCGTGTGTGTGTGTGTGTGTGTGTGTGTGTGTGTGTGTGTGTGTGTGTGTGTGTGTGTGTGTGTGTGTGTGTGTGTGTGTGTGTGTGTGTGTGTGTGTGTGTGTGTGTGATTGAGAGTGTGAATAACATGGAGATTCCTCTTTCTCTGCACACTTTGATGTAAAAAGCCAATATTATTAGTTAAAGGAAAAGTTAAGACATAAGAAAGATGATCACTATGTCAGTAAGATTGATATCGCTTTCCTTCTGGTTAGTTAGATGCTGAAGCAAGCTTCATACTGTACAGATGCGTGAGTGGTATCATTCTTAGCTTTTTGAGACGAATAAAAGTGTTTCCAAAAATGTAAAAGTAGCCTTTAACTAGGGATTAGGTTAGAAAACCTTAAACAGGGCATTCAAACTAACTAAAGATTTAACAATAAGGCGTTGTTGGGTGTGGTCTTATATCTAGAGGTTGTGTTTTAAAGCACTCGCAAAAAAATGCTAGCAACCAGCTATTTATTTCTTTTGTGACAACCCCTGTTAATTGCTTATTCTAGTATGTCAGCATTTGAAATATTAAGGATGCGGATGAAAGCATTTACCCCGTCTTTCTTGTCCCTCTCCAGAGCTCCATGCAGGAAATCTCTTGACACTTCTTCGTTCTCGTCCAACCACATGACGACAAACGGTTCAAACCAGCTGCAGAGGAAGGAACGAGCAGAGGCAGCATGAGTGTCTGTGCCACGGTGTGAAAGGCAGGGTGTGGATGCTGTTTATAAGACACTTACGCTGGATACTCAGGTACGTGCTTCTGGAAAGTGTGCAGCTCTTTGCAGTACTCATTGTAGAGCCATTTCACCTTGAAGTGCAAGTTCATATAATCTGCGCTTTTACACAGGCGGTTCTTCTCATGCTCTGAGTATCAAAGAGAAAGAAAGAATTAGTCCCACGTCACCACTGTTTCTCCATATAAACTTTATATACAGACACAAACAAATGACCGTTGACCCCCCACGACAACACACACAAACACCTACCCTCCATGGCGTATTTCATATCTTGTGCAAACATATTCCACATGACCTCGGCGCTGATCTTGCCCACGTTCAGTTCCTGGGGAAACCTGTGAGAGGCAGTACTCATGCTTAAATCACCCCTCTGTATCCAGCAATGCTACTCTATTATTTAACAAGAGAACCCAGTTTTATTATGTAACTCCATTAGTGTTTCATCTGTATCTTTTATTTTAGACACTTTTATCCTCACTGACCCTCAAACCAGCCTTGAGTTTATCTAAATTCATAGAAGTATTAGATCCAAATCCAAACTAACCCCACCCAATAAAGTGTTTGTTCTAAAGGAATGACTACTCTGATGACACAGCCTTTGCCGTAAGTGCGAATTGTAAGTGCAAATATGCATATGATTAAAAATACATGTTATTGTTGATACAGTTAGAGGCTCGGTTTTTAAACATTTTGATATTCTAAGCCAGGGGTGTCCAAACTACGGCCCGGGGGCCAAATGCAGCCCAACTTGAATAGGCCCTCAGCAAATCAAAAAGCATAATGACTTAAGTATAATAAACGTCTGCTTGTCTTATATTGTGCTTCTTATATGTTCAAATACATTACACAGTATTCATGTGTTAATAAGCCCAATTTTCAAATGAATGCAGTCAATTCAAGTTGAAAACATTTTCTAACAAATCTAAGTTGATCAGAAAAAAGCCCGACAACTTATTTTCATAACAACCTTGAAATAAACCCTTCATATTTCCTCTTATTATAACCGATCTGAGGCTCCTGCTTTAAGGGATGAGCTGCTAACACAATGAATGAAACCCTATGGAGAGCTTTCATGTAGGCCATTTTTTTCTAACAGCATTTTCAAGTATCAAGAATAATTTACCTACATTGGATTGATTTTTCCAACTTATAAATGAACTTATGAGGCAGTATACCTCACCTCTAGTGAGGGGCCCAGCCCTCGGTGAAAAAAGTTTGGACACCCCTGTTCTAAGCTATAGTAAGTACAAGGCAGCTTTTTTGACTGCTTCTAAACGTGCTGTTAAAAGCATGCAAAATGTTACTAATAAGGCCGATGATATGAGACTCACTGATTAAGGCAATGAGTGTAGGAGTTTTTGTCCTCTTCTATGATGGAGACGATGAGGGTGATGAGTTTGGACCAGAAGTCCAGATTTTTGGTGCTGGGACCCTGCTCATCTGGAGGAACTGCCTTCGACTGGAGACAGAGAAGAGATTATGGTTAGCGTAACAAAGGCATCCATCAAGAATTTCTTGCAGTGAGAAAACACTTGGTGGTATCACTCGCCAGCACACATACACAGTATCTCTGCTTCATACACACAGACTTACAGGGTCCGTCTGATATTCCCTGTTGTAAAGGTCGTGGCAGTTGTTGAAGATGTACTCATAGGTGGAGTTGAGACAGGCTTTCACACAGTCCTTCACCACCTGGCTCGCTCTGGGTGGACTCTGCAACTCCTGGACCTGAACACAAATGTTACACATATGGTTGAATACACACACTGATCTGAAAAAGTCAAACTAAAATGATTTAACAGCCTGACCAAGCCAAACTGACACACCCTGTCCCATGAAAATAGCTTCACTTTGGATAGGGAAATGTTAAGATGAGTCTCAGTTGAAGCCTCAGGGCACTTTTCAGAAAGTACTGGAAAAGTGTTCCATGTTTGTTTTTTGGAGTTTAGTGTTAATGTGAACGGAAATAAATGATCCATCTTTCAGTCATCCTTACCTTCATCCTGAAGAATGTGATGCTGGTCAACAGATCCACTGTAGACTTGAGGTCTTGTAGTCTTTCAGGACTGCTGGCAGGGAAGTTATTCTAAAAGCACATTCAACATTATAATTATGAACATGTTCACTTAAGGATTCCCTTTCTTCAGGTAGTAAGATGAAGGGAATACATATTAGATTAGGAGTGGCCACACGAGAGCATAGACAATCTCATAGATGTCCACACAGAAACAGCATAAACAGGCAGGGATTGTAGCATCAAGAAATGAAGATACAATGTCTTTTGTATTTGTCATGAGAGAAAGAAGCAGTCAGTACCCGGTACATGGAGAGGTCGATCCTCAGGGAGTTGTGCAGCTGATCCAGGAGTTTGACAAACCTCTCCTTCTAAACAGGACAGACAAAAAAACAGAACAGACTCAGAATCCACGCCACTGCTGAAAGATCACTTGTTACCATTTAACTAAACAAACCCGAGGCCAAAACTGACGAGGCTCAACTGATTGGACGTCCGGATAAGTAGGCAGCGTCACGTTAAACAGACTTTCATCTACAGCCCAGGGGGACCAAGAGTTACTCATTTGCTTTTTTAGGGACAGCAGTTCTACATTACATGACTTTGTATCTGTTTTATTTTCTCTGTCACACAATTGTTTTTTTAAATGTAAGAATTTACTTTGTACATTTTGAGTGGTAAAGTGTGAATTCATGAGCAATAACAAATACTTCAGGGGGAGAATACAGAGTTACAAGAATCAAAATGATTGAAGATATTCATAAATAAATAAAATAAATAAAATAAATAAAATAAATAAAATAAATAAAATAAATAAAAATAAATAAAATAAATTAAATAAATAAATAAAATAAATAAAATAAAACTAAATGTACAAAGTAATGAATCCAATACCTCCACAAAATATGGCCATGAGTTCCTTTCATTTGACAATTCTGACGGCAACAAAAGAAAACGTATCTTTTTCACAACAAAACATGACTCAAAATCAACATTTCCTTTAAATCATTTGGGGAAATGGATAGGGCAGTTTGCCTTTTAGTCCTTTTTGAAACTCTGCCAAGAAAAGTCTTATCACTCATCACTTCGAAAATCTGCCCCAGGGATCGGCTTCCCCGAAACCTACACTGTTTCCAACATTTGGCATCTCCGCAAGCAAAGTGTTTTTTCTTATTTGATGTAATAAAGAAACAAATACAAATACTTTCATCCAAACTCCTTCCACACATTAGAGTTTGTGCCTCTTTGACACATTCAGAAAATCCTCATTTAATTTCTAAAGTTGACCTTCTCTGTCCGAGCTCCTCCTTAAAGGTAAAAGTAAACCATCTCTTTAGTTATAGCTAGTATAGTGACATTTATGAAGAAGTGACTCACGCCAAAGTTTGATGCAGCAAATCTGTCCGAGGCGGAAACATTGTTGGAGGACTGGGTGGTGTGGGCGTAGTAAGCGTTGATGTTGGCAAGCAGAGTGCTCATCACTGCTGGCACTCCGGGACACATGTACTTGGAGGACAAGCAGGCGAAGTGGCTGTGGGGGGTGGGGGGGAAGTGGCAAAAAGGAAACGCTCTTTATAATCATGTATTGGAAACAAGTATAACCTATATGTATGCATTATGAAACTATATACAAATAAGTGAATAAACCAATTCTTCAGAATAAGGATTTGATCTTATGTAATTTGTAGGTTCAGATTCAGAGTAATGCTTGAGGCACGTACGTCATGGCCTGGTAGATGGACTCTACTCCGTATCTCATGGCAAACTCGTCCACGATCTCCTGCGCCGTCTCCTCAAAATACACCTTCCACGCATCGTCCCCTTTGGCGTCAGGGATCTTTACCACGCCGCCATTCTGCTCCTCCGTGGTGTACTGGAACAGATGCTGAACAAAGACAGGGGACAGGAAATTTAAAAAACAAATGCACATTGTAAAAAAAAAATACATCTGAAAGACAGAGAGAGACAGTTTTGGTACGCGTCTAAACGTTTTGAAAACTTGAACTGTCTGTCTTTACTTGTGTGGAGATTGTTGATGATTTGCTCCCTAGTGGGAATTTAATATTGTTATTGTGTTATGTTTGGTGTTTGTTTTGCGTCTGGTACAATAAATACAAAATAACAGTCTGAAAAAAAAAAGGTCAGGCTAATGCCGTTTTCCAGTTCTTCATTAAAGTCAGGGTTTTAACTCATCTCATTCTATCCTATAGTGGTGTACATTGATCAATAATTCCTAACAATTACAAATGAAGTCAACTGTAAGGATAAACGTCATGTTGGCAAAGTTTTATTTATATAAAAAAAGCCCAATTCCCCTGGGTATTACAGCAGAAACATACATTCACAAAGTGATTAGTTGTGTTAATCTGGAAGGCAGAATGATTTGACTGTAACTCATTAACTCTAAAGGTTGCTGCTGCATAATTAAGGTTTTATTTCAACTGCAAATAACCAGAACTCCTTTAGGAGACTGACCTCGTGTAGACAGGTGTACTGGACGTGGTAAGGGGACACCGTCTCCTCTCCTTTGATCTCCACACTTATGTGCATCCGGATGGCTCCTGACACGGCAGACTTATCCGTTCTCTTGTCTGTCAAATCAAAGTAAGACATACATGCTTCCTTAGTTGGCTGATCTCTGTTCCATCTACAAGAGACAAGCACTTCAATTATCTGCTCCTTGTTCTGTTATCTACGCTCCACTGGCTGCTCCTCTCATCCGTCTCTAATTCCCGGCAGTCTTTTCTCTTATCTTTCTCGAAAACTCACCCAGGTTGTACCAAACGTCCATCTCCCCGCTCAGAGTCCGCACTTCGATGATGGTTTGGCCCAGGAAGTCATCGCTCTCACGTTTGAACCTCTGTTTTACACGAGACTTGATGTCGTCATCCTCGTCCCACACGCGAACCTTGATGCGGTCTGACGAGTTGTGGCATTCACTGGATGAGGCAGAGTTTTAGGGGCAAAAAAGAGGAAGTCAACAATGGCAATAAAAACATGGACAAAAAAAGAGTCTCTTACACAATACATTTGCTAAGATATAACCTTGAATAAGAGCATGGCGCACTTTATGCTATTATCATAATACATCAAATGAAATGTCAGCCTTTGACTGTACTCACAAGTGGAAGTTTTCTTCCCAGACGGGGTTGAGGTTTCCGTAGATGGTCTTGGTTCTAATCTTGGTCTTCCCCACTTGAACCGTGACATAAGGGTCACTGGAGCCGGTTTTGTCTTTAGCCTGCAGGCCCTGAGCACATGCCACTGGGGAAAAGACATCAAAACCATTCAACAAAAACCTAACAGTTGTCTGACTCATACTTATCGTTTTTGAAACATTTTTTATATATCATTGTTTTCAAAAGAAAACAACAACAACCACAAGCAGCATGTTTTATCGCTATATCCCAAAATCGAACATTTTCCTGAATGCCCTGTATTTAACATATGTAGCATACAGTATGACACCCTTAACTCACCCGTGATGCTGATCTTCGCTGACCATTTGGACGTCCCATCAAGCACGCTCTGCTTGATTTGTTTCATCTGCGCGCCGTGTGTTGTTTTGTCGAGGGCGAACACTTCCAGGATGAGCTCGAAGATCTCTGGTTTGTTCCTCTCTCTGATCTTCATGCGGTCCTTCAGGACCATGATGATGTTCTGGGTTCGGTCCTCCGCCCCGTGTTTGGAGCTCTTTTCTGCCGCTCCTGATGGGACGGAGGAATAAAGAGAAGGATGTAAGAACGTGTAAAATATTTTCAAGCAGCTTAACTCCTGTTACGCTCTAACTAACGCATCTACTTAAAGCTGAGTGCCAAGTTAAGGCACTCGATTTTGAGATTCTTTGACATTTCTTGGCCAGGGATCAAACCTTCCAATACTATGGGTGAAACGTTATCCACTCAACCAATGATCTGGTCAGGAAATAGTAGAAAGTCAGAGAGTGGAGGACCAACAGATGTTGTTGGCTCCAAGATCTCACGAGACTCTTTGGAGACAGCAGAGTGATGAATTATGCATTGCATAGATTGACTCCAAAATCAGTATGGGAATTGGATAAGTCACGCCGTGTGGAGCCTGAATGACAAAAAGCAGTATGGATGCAAAGGCTATGGGTAGAAGGCAGAGAGAGGCAGGGGTATGACAGCACATTACTCAGGAGACAAATTAGAAAGGAAGAGGAAGGGAAAATGTGAGAGCGGATAGAGGACGAGTATGCCATGTCAATCAGGCAGAAGGATACAGAGGAGCTAAAATTAGCTTGGGATTTGTGTGGATGGCTGAGTATACTGAAGTTAAAAATGTGCATATGTTAAAAAGTGTGTGTTGGTGCATGTGTGCAAAGATGCTTCAGTCCTTACTCTGCAGACAGTCAGCGTTGAGCAGATCCTGGCACTTATCGTGGCATTTGACGCCGCACTCAGAGCAGCGCATGCCTTGTCGCGCGATGCCCCAGAGCAGCCCCTCGCATTCGTAGCAGTAGGTGGGGGTGGTGGCGGTCCACACCTCAAAGTTGTGTGGCGTAGTGGAGGAGATGGGGTAGATCAGAGCCTGTAGAGTCTTTTTATAAACATGACTTTTCTGCAAAGGGCACATAGGAGAGAAATGTGATAACCAGCAGCGATTCAAGTAAAAAAACAAAACACGATGAACAGAAACGTTGTGAAGATGGAGGAGGAAACCCACCAGCTCTTCATTGCCGAGGGTGGTGGAGGCCATGGCGGAGGTGATTCCTGCCTTACGAGAGTTCTGCACGAGAGACTGGAAACAAGAGGGCAAACAGAACAGTTTAAATGAACTGTAAACCTAAGATTTAGAATGTATTAAGTGATTTATATATATGATTTAAACAAACACTCACCATTGCCTGATGAATCTGGTCAGTGATGAAAAAGTGTAAAAGAAACAGAATATTTTAGAAATGTAATAAGACAAACGCTACAAGCAAATATGATGCATTGTGTGTCTAACATAGATAGTAGAACAGTCTAACTACATGTACACATTGCTGTAGTTACAATAACCACCACATATACGCAAAGAAGTGAAATCATGTTGACGTAAGATGGGAAAAGGTACTATAGCTATAAACCTACTATAAAACAAAAGAGATAGAAATAGAGATGTTGGTTTTAGAGGAACTGAGATTCAACTGAGGACCAATAATGTCTCCAAAATTGATTCCAAGTCAACCTGCAATACCGCTGTGTATTATTGCTTGTTAGTGTGTGTGTCCATAACTGAGTCTCACCAGATCTCTGACAAGAGGAACGGCTTTCCTCTTGCGAAGGTCAGGCATGCTGTCAATACTGTAGAGTGCGCCTCCCATTCTGTAAAAGAAATAGATGAATAATTATACATTTATATAAATATGTAAAGTAATATTTACAGTAGATAAAACAACTAAATGAAATCACATTTTGTTACTATGAGGCAGATGTAATTATCCCTATGATTGTTTCTATTGCTACTCCATTCAACGACTTGACTGGAGAGTTTAATTACGCAGACTGCCTCATCTCAAATAGTGGGAATGACACTCACTCACACACTCACACGGTTTTAATTGCTGGGTTTCCATTTGGCTAGCTTAGCACTTCTTTATTATGCAGCCTCAGTTCCACTCTGAGGTCTGCCTCATCTACAAATGACCTGCCAGCTAAGTCAGGGCAGCCCACTGCCGCTCAATACTCACTGGCCAAATGCCATGAGCGGAAGGAGGGTGTGGATCAGAATGAAATAGAAGGGAGGATTCCCGGACCAAAGAAGGACATTTTAATCTAATGGGGCGGTTGGTGGCAGGTTTCCACAATGATCAGAGCATAACTTTAATCAAGTTTCATTCATTCATTCGTTTAGCAAGGCTGGAGAGGATTTGGGGAACAATTGGCAACGTACACACACACATTCTTTACATGTCTATAACATTATTCAAACCCTTTTGGAAAGAAGATGAGGAAAGTACTTTTTTGATCATAACTAGGTTACGCATTTTAAAATATATTTTTGGTATTAGTTTACTTGGAAAGATAATATTATTAATAATTTGCATGTGATGGCCATGAAGCGGAAGACAATGTTGTGGAAACCATCAAATACATTGATCCTGAAGGACACATACATAAGCTAAATAAGAATGACCCCAAAGATAGACTTTACATTAAATCAATAAAGTGAAAGATTGGTGATAAGACATTCAAACCCCAATACTGCTTCTCCTACACTATACCTCTCCCTTTCTTTCTTTGTTGTTGGATTGTTTGTTTGTTCTAGCTGGTTTGAGTTGTGTGTCTTCTATTTCGATATTTTATTAATTTAACTTGTACAACAGTAAAAGAATATGCATTAAACCCTGAAGTAATCAAATATCTGGAAGGTGATGGAAATAACTTTGCAATAAAGTATTTTCTAAAAAGCGAGACACAGATGGACTGATTGACTTATATGTGATTTGTAATCTGTTTCATGTTAGAGAAAAAGAGAAGTGGCAGCAGACACTCACCCGCCTTTACCAAACCACAGCGAGCTGGAGGTCTCTCCTCTGGCCTGAGGGAGACAAAGCAGGAATGTCAGATGAAGAAAAAAGCAACCATAAAGAGACCCCTGCAGCAGTTTCTAGCATTCATATACTGTATGAATGTAGCTGCATCAATAGATTTCTGATTATGGAATTTTATATCAGACTATTCAAAATACCATCTCGTCTGTGTCTTTGCATCAGAGGTCGAAAGTGTCAATAAAAACTCGTACAAAGAATCTGTGAGAGGCCTTACACAATGTGTACCCTTAGGAAAAGATGCTGAAAAAAGACATGTGAGCCAAGGAGAGCATAGATGCAAACTAAAAAGAGTTATTAAATAAATGTCACCATATTCACGTCATGAGATAATAAACAAGTTTTGTAACTATTCAAAAAGCTTTGCCTGGATTTTGAAATCAAATATGTCATTGGAGAATCTGATGCAGCTCTTTGAAGATGCAATAGAGATATCAAATTGTTGTGAAAATGAATGAGCATATTGAAAGTGCATGTTCACAGTGAGGAGTTCAACAAGACATCTGTTCCACGCATTTCCTTTTTCTCTCAAGCATCCAACCAGGTTGTACCTACCCGTCAGCATGCTCCAATGATGGCCGAGCAAAGTGCATGCGAGTGTCACTATGGCAATGACATGAAACTGGAAAGAAAACAAAGCGGGTTCGGAACAAACAAACTGAAAAAAAGGCAAACAAAAGAAAGCCAAATGTACAAAAACGTGACGTGACACACATCAACATAAACATCAAAGCAAGGGATTAATTATCTGCAAAACTGAATTCAAATGTAATGAGTAGCAACAGAATAAGTGAATAAAATATGCAAGTGAAAACTGATCAAGCAAAACTTAAAGGGGACCTAACATGCAAAATGCACTCTTGTACGTCTTTTATACATGAATATGTGTCCCCGGTGTGTCAGGGGAATCACCAAGTCAGAAAACACAACCCTCTCTCTTTTCCTCCATACCCAAATCTCTAAAAACGGGGCTGCAAC